TTGTCAGGAAAATTTTGAGTGGTGAGTCTCCTTTTCCACTCGATATGCATCGTTTCATGAAGATTCGCCTTTAACCGGGTTATCTCATTACGGCGCAGGTTCCTTCGTTTTTTAAGAGTTTCTATGTTGTGGTAAGCTTTGGCGGTGAATTCGATCTGGATATCGAGCGGGATACACCTTGCCAGCAATAAAACAGATAATAAAGCGGCCGTCCTATAGCAGCATGCTATTCTATTAGCCATCTTCTTTTGGAGAGCTAGTAGATTCCTACATAAATTTTTACTGGATAAAACCTCTTGCGACCATACCGGTGCACCGTATAATACAATGGAGTTAAAGGTATGTGTGTATAAGCGTCGGGTAGATTCAGATGGCCCATTAATATTAGGCAGGATTTTTCTGATGCCATTAATGAAGCCGGCAGCTTTTGGAATAATTTTTTCTATGTGCGTGGAAAAAGTGAGCCGTTCATCAAGAAACACTCCCAAATATTTAAATGAGTCGACAAAGAATATTTTAGATTTATCTAAGACTATATAGTTTACAGTATCATTCTTTCTAGCTCGTGCTGGAGTGCTGCACATAACTGCAGTTTTGTGGGCGGCCACCCTAAGACCTAAAGATCTAATGCTGTCAATAACATGTTGAGTAGAAGTGGAGGCGATAAGGCGACAACTCTTCCGGTCGCAATGTGAGGTTAAAATCAAGGTATCATCGGCATAACCTGTAATCTCTGAATCGAAAGGGAGGCTTAGGTTAAGTATGCAATCGAAACCAATGTTCCACAGAGAGGCTGCTAAAACAGAGCCTTGGGGAACTCCGGCACACACTTTTTTGACTACTACATGGCCCTCCTTGTTAATGGCAAAAATTTCGCGTTCTCTTAGGTAATTCTGGATTATTTTAATAAGGTAAGTTGGAACTTTTTTTGATATTAAGCCTTTGATAATTGCTGACCAAGGTAGAGAGTTGAAAGCATTGCTGATATCAATGCTAACAGCAATAGTAACTATCCCATTAGCATAATTATTCCTGATTTTGTTACAGACGCGAGAAAGAGCTTGTAGAGTGCTTCTTCCTTTTCTGAATCCGTATTGGAATTCAGAAAGCCTGTGTCCGGAATTATTCATGTGTAGTTCTAGGCGTTCAACGATAATCCTTTCAAATATTTTGCTTATATCATCAAGCAGACAGAGCGGTCGATATGCTGCAGGATCGTTTAAAGGTTTGCCAGGTTTGTACAGAAGAAATAACTTGGCTTTCTTCCACATCGTGGGAAAGATTGATTTCTTAAGACAATCAGTGAATATTTCTGAAATATAGGTAAGATTTTTCCTAATTAAGCAGGCTACAATTACGGCTGGAACGCCAGATATTCCAGGAGCCGAATTCTTTTTTAACATTCGCTTTACAGCATATTCGACTTCCCTGTCTGTGACGACAAAATCATGATGCCAAGTGAAACTGCCTGTTCTCACTTTCCTATCAGTAGGTGATGGGAATAGATCATCTAGGACACGCCTTAATACGACCGGTTCTATGTACTCGGTGAGTGGAATACGAGTAAAGCTATCTTTTTTCGTTGCCCATTTATAGGGACGTCCCCAGGGGTCTTTATCGATTGTGGATATGACGGATTGCCACTGCAAGCTTTTAGCTTTGTCTATGGAGAATTTAAGTTTTTGTTTGCTGACTCTATATTGCAGTTCAGCGGCGTTAGCTACTGTAAAGGTGATTTTCCCGCTATATGCTTTCTTTTTCAACTTTTGCCAGTTTCTTCTAGCTTTCTGGCATTGTGACCGAAGATTTTTAATTTCTACCGACCACCATGACTGAGGGGGGAGTTTAGAGGTAAAGACCTTCCTAGTCATTGACAGATTGCAAAGGTTAGTTAACGATGAGTTGATGTTTTTAATCCTTTTATAAAAGGAGGGTTTTAATTTCGTGGATCTGTTCCAGGCATCTGTTATAGCCGAAGCTTCACAGATGTCTTCCTTCAGTGATTTTAAATTCCATCTAGGGAATATACTGGCTTTGTTTTTTCTGGAGACTCGAGCAGGTAAAGACATTAAAAAATTTATATATTGGTGGTCGGATAGGGATTCAGTCTCCTCAACACACCAACCAGTAATATGAGCGGCAGCTGCTTTATTTGCAAAGGTGACGTCCACTATCGATGAACCCTGAGGACGGATACACGTAGGTTTATCCCCTTTATTTAAAATAATCAGGTTATTAGACTTTGCCCATGCTTCAAGAACCTTTCCTCTAACATTATTACTCCGGCAACCCCATGCTGTGGATGCGGCATTAAAGTCACCACCTACAATAATTGAGAGACCTTTTCGTTGGTTAATAATCTCAGCTATTATTCGAAGTTGATTCTCGAATTCAACGCGTTTTTCGCTAGGAGAACAGTATACAGATACTATTAGAATGGAGCGGATAATAATTGCAACTATATTATTTTCACAGGTGACTAATTGTGTTTGATGAGAAGAGAGTCCTTCTGCAACAATTGCAGCCCTGCACGCAGTGTCACCGAACCAGCCAGGCCTGCATGGATTGTAGGGTTCTGATACAATTGCGACGCACGAGTTTCTCTGTACAATATTTCTTTCGAGAAGAGACTGGGCTGCAGACGCATGATTCAAGTTTATTTGGATGAAAGGTATAGAGGAATTATGGTTCATAGCAGCGTATAGTTTGTCTCAACCGATTATATAAAGTATAGCGAATAGAATAGAATAAAATAAAAAGATGTATTTAAAATAAAGGAATTAAAATAAATAAAATAAATAAATTAATA